TTCAAGGATATGAACGGGAGCAAAGTAAAGTTTGAGAACAACACTCTTTAGATGGAAGAGGTATGCTTGTTATGATTTACATTTGAAATACTTCACGAGCAAATGGTTTCATCAAAAGTATAAATGTGGGATATTAGTAGTTATCTTCTGGCAATTTGATTTCAACGTATTGGAAGTTGATGACTATATGTTTCATGTGAGATAGAAACATCAAATTGAAGCATAGGTAGTTGGCACCAACGTGCTAATAATATATTATTGGAGTATCTTCAGAAGTGACATCGTCAATGACATGATACTTAGCTTTTGTGGTAGTTGTGTAACTTTTTTTTTTTTTAGAGTTCCAATTGACGGGGTTTGCTCCAAAAAGACAATGTATATCGATGTGGATGTTCTATCATCAATGTTACATGCCTAATCTAAATCAGCAAAGATATAAAGATAAAGGGATGATTGCTTCCAAAAGAGATGACCATGATTAAGAAACTCTTTAACAAATCTTGGGATATGAAGTAGACTAATGAGTAGTGGGGCTAATGCATGAACTGTGACATTTTATTGCCTACAGATGAAATGTCTAGACGAGTGAGAGAAACTTACTACAAAGAGTATCGGTACGATATGAAATCTATAGTAGGACTATCATCATGTAATTTGAGTAACTTAACAAAGGAGTGTGGAGCAGGAATCTCTTTGGCATTTTCCATATTATCTTTGATAAAAAGTTTCAAATGTACTTTTAAGAGAGAAAAAGTTATATGAATACTATCTCTATACCTAAAATATAGCTTGGTGGCCCTAGATCTTTGACGATGAATCTAACAATTGCTCGAGGAATTATTTAATTTCTATTGAATCTCAAATTTTGACGATGAAATCAATTGATAGTATTCATCTAATATGCAGTTAAGTGACATAGGACTAACTTCGATCAAGGAGAGGCAAATTAATTAAAGCTGGAGGAATCAGACGTTAGGCCGGAGTGAATATGTTAGAAGATTGGATGTCGGGCCAGAGAATCAGTTGATGTATCGACAGAAGGCTTCATGCCATGAGTTCGAGCATCAGGCCAAGAAGAGCGAAAAATGTGCCAAGAAAATCGGAGTTACGGATGTCAACTAGCTGATTGGGTAATAAGCTGCAAGAGAGGACGATGCGTCGAAGGATCGGACAAAGAGCCAAATGAGCCAATAATATGCCGGACAACATAGGATTCATGCTTGTAATAATTTGTCTAGATCAAGTTAGTTTAGGTCTAATTGAGTCAATATTGGGGTGAAAATAATGCCAACTCGATTATAGGCCAATTGGGCCTGAATTAGGGCTGAATTGAGTCTATTTTTCGGCTCATTCAGTGTCTTGTAGTAGGGTCTAGCGGTGGCACCGCCCAGACACAATCTTCAAGATTGTGTCAGGCAGTGATATCGCCAGACTAAGCGGTGGTACCGTCCAGACACAGTCCTCAAGATTGTGTCGGGTGGTGGTACCGCCCAAACACAGTCTTCAAGACTGTGTCATGTGGTGGTACCATCCAAACATAGACTCCCAGACTGTGTCAAGTGATAGTACCGTCAGACTGAGTGGTGGTACCGCCCAGTGTCAGTGCTGCATGCAGTAGTAACCCCCAACACAGGCGATGGTACCGCTAGGACCCGGGAAACCCGGGATGAGACCTTTTTAGGCTCTATTTTTGAAGCCAATTGGGGTCTGTAAATACCCCAACTATTCCTGCATGGAATAGCAAGAAATTTGAGCAAAACTCTATGATGCTAAAATTATAAACCTTATTAGAAAGTTGAATTCCCTCCTCCTAAAATATAGAGAGAGTTCTAAGGGAGGTGTGTGAGGGAAACTTTATAAAAAATGGGTGTAAAGGTTGTCTCCTAAATCTATGAAAACGAGGTGTAAAAGGGTAGTTGACCTTCGCCCGTTGAAGGAATATCATTAGTGGATGCCGATAGCCTCGACGGAAGAGAAATCGACGGGTTGGATGTAGGTCACGACGACCGAACCACTATAAAAATCTGATTTACATTTATTTCTTGTTATTTACCTTTACATTACAAATTGATTTCTTACTCTCACTACTCTCTCATACGCTTTCAAGTTGACATCTTCCGAGATCAATTTTAATCGAAACAAAAGATTTTTGAACGACGTAGTTTTTACTGCTACACTAACTGACCCCCCCCTCTTAGTATCGACTCGTTCGTAATAATTTCAGGAAAGCTATTGCTTGTGCTAATGATGTCATATGCATAAACTAGTAAGTATATGGTATGTCTATCATCGCATAAACAAGGAGCTCTCAAATTTTAAATCAACAAAGCTAATAAACATTAGGAATGAGCCAAGATCATTGTACTAGACTCTTGGAGCAGCCAAGATCATTGTATACATGGATAGGATGTTGAGGGTGAACAAAGTGAGGGGTTGTTGTAGAGAGACATCATTAGTCAAGGTCTTTTGCAAGAAAATATTATTAACATCTAACTATCATAAGTGCCAACATTAAGTGGGAAAAAACACATAAAGATAAGTCAAATTATCATTGATTTGATTATATAATTAAAGGTTTCTGTAAAATCAATATTTGATCGTTGATGAAACTCTATAGCTACTAGGCTATTGGATGACACAAGCGGCCATGTGGGATTATAAAGTAAGGTATCATGTTCCGACACATATGTGATGCCAGTGAGAGGATTTTTATGCTTGAGTGATAGAGAGCTTGTGGTGGTGTAGAGATCATGGATTTGATGTAGTTTAATGATGTTATTTTTGGAGCATGTTATTATATGATGTTTAGTCCCAATAGTATGATTGAGTTATGTTTATGGTATGATAGTTGGTGATGAGTTTGTGACACATACATAATCAAACTAATGCATAGTAGTGTCACTTGACCAATGAGAAGACAAAGGCATCTCTTATTGTGTTATGACGTAACTACAATTAG